TGTAAACAGCAATTACCTCGAATAAGAATAGATTAATTACACTCACTATAAACATTCTTACTTCATTAAAGAAGGCCATTTAAGTTTCTCCAATCAAATAACAAAAATTTGTAAATAAAAAAAAAAAAAAAAACATTTTTAGCAATATTTCGCCATCAATATTAATACCATATCTACTTTATTTCAATTACTCTTATTGTTCTGCTAATATTAAAAAGAATTAAATTTAATATAAAAAATACTGACAAAACGTAGATTTCAATAAATTTTTCTTTCACTTACAACATTTTAAATAATATAACTTACGCAAACAAAACCAGTAGCAGTGAAGACAGACTATCATTGACATATCAAAACAGATGCTGATATCAGATATCCGATATTCTTTGACTCATCTACCAAAGATCAACCAGGGACAATGGTGAAAGTAAATAAAAAATTAGCCTTGAAAAACTTTTGTCGATCCTGTTCTAATGTTATAAATAATTTCCGAATAGGTCTCACAGTATAATTTAAAACAAAACGAGCTAAACAAAAGCGAAATAACATGGGCCTATAAGAACACTTTAATTAAGGAAGCAAAAGTATTAATTTGCTCGAAATTTTACACAATTTTTTTATTTTTAATTTGCTGTCACTGGTAATTTGTTAGCCTTTTTACTTTCTCTGTCTAATCCAGATAAGACAGGTGAAAAAAAAGTTTAGCAAAAACAAAAAATATCTTTTTTCTTCTTGCTTTGCCCGAATTTTCCTCGTTGTTCAGCCCGAATTAATCCCGAACAAATATTAATCAATAGCGATGTTATAATGATAAAAATACACAATACAATGATGATATTCAGGTTTATTCAACAAATATTGCAGGAAAGCTAAGTTGAAAAAATTTTTGTTGCATCATCAAGTAATAGTATTTCAAAAGAGAATTTCTGAAAACACGAGATTACTTTCACACTTTACTTGAGCTTTAAAAATCTTGAAAATCATTTACTGTATTAGGAAATTGTTACACAATTTGTAATATAATTTATTATATTTTAAATTTTGTATAATTGAAGTATATTTATCATAATGTTCATTTAATTAAATAAAAACTTTATTAAAGATATACCTTTTTAATTCGTAAGAACACAACTCGTTTCCGCAACTAGGAATTCTGAAATTAGACTATAATGACATTCCCGATAATAATAATACTTTTATATCATCGAAAAAAAAATCGTTACATAAGCGATTTCATTATTTACATAGAGATAATTCAAAATTTTGATATAAATTTAAGCAAAAGAATTTAGTAAAAAGTAAATATTAAAAAGAACACCTTTATTGTTTGAATTTCCGTTACGAAATAAAAATAACTAAAGTTTTTGCTATCATTTATCTTTTTGAATCTGAAAAATTAAACTAAAAAATAGTTAAACATATACAGTATATTTCAATCAGCAGTTGGTTTGTACAGTACGGCATTACTTTAATATAGTTTATATTATACAACCCAAAAATCCAAAGTGACATTTCTATGCTTTCTGTACTTTTCTATACTGAATTATCGCGCTCCTGTTGTGTATAACGATTATATGTAAAATAATTTACTACATTATCAAAGTTACACTGTATATATGAAATATATATATATAATTACAATTATAAAAGTTTATATGATTGTAATTTTAAAAGTACAATATAAAAATTGGAAGAAATTTTAGAGAGCTTTGAAAACTGTTGTTATAAAAACTTTCATTTTCAAACGTAATTAGCAATGTTGTGAAAAATCGTGATAATGTAGGCCTATCAAAAACATCATACATTATAAAACACTATATCCTCGATGAAAAACATCTGAAAATCACCGATAAAACAAATATTTTTATTACTGGTAGTCTAATACTGTAGTAGGCAGAAATTAATGGGATCACTGATGATATATGTTTTCTAAAACATATTGACCTGAAAAGAAAATTTTTAAGCTGATTTCTCGGTTTGAATTTCATTAATTTCAGTATAGGAAAAGCATTTCAATGACATAAATATTGCCAAATAACCACAACGTATTAAAAAGAATTTCTGAAAACTTACGAGTTATTCTCAAATTTAGAGCCTTTAAAAAGCTTCTAAGGAATTATCATTTTGATTAAAAATTTAATGCAATATGATTTTATAACTTTAGACCAAAACTAAATAAATATCTTTAAAAATACATTAAACCATACGAATCAAAGAAGGAAAAAGTAATTCTCAAGTATAAATAGACTTTGAAGGTTCTTATCATTATTACATAAGCACAGTCGTCAGAGTAGAATAATATTAACAATATTTATTCTTTATTTATCAGAAAATTTGTTGAGGACTACATAAACTATTAAAAATCTTTATTATAAGATTAGTTTCTGGGTGCATCTATTCAAGCTGACGTACTGGTAGTCCTTTTCTATAAAACGGATTTCGTCACTGGCTTGCTTACTTAATTGTTTGCAACTAGATGCAAGAGCGATGGGAGGAGGATGCAAAGAGGTGTATTTGTATCCGTAGCTCAAAAAAGTGAAAACTAATATTGTCATGAACTGTAATTTTTAAAAATTACTTTTGTATCATGACATAAAACATGAGAATCTTTACCGACTTGAAAAGTTTCGTTAATTATGCGTAATTAATTAATACCTCATAGTAATTAATTTTATTCACTTCGTTGAATTAATCGTTCCATTGTACATCATTGCATCACTAAAATATCCTGTCGGAGCAACTGCATTGATGCACTCTACAGTAGATTATATCTTAATTAATCAATATAATAGAATAAGTTCGTACGAAAAACTGCTTTTTTCTTTTTTTAAGTTTCTACTGAGAAGGAAAATATATTCAATATATAAATTATGCAACGAATTTAAGCTCGATATATGTTATTCATTTTTGTGGTTATCTGAAATTTTTTAAAATTTTATTACCTTTTTAATTATAGTATTTTTAATGTGGCTTTTATAATCTATATATAAACTTTTTAAAAGTTGTCTGTAATAATTAGAAGATATCTGACTCAATATGAAATAAAATTTTGCAATAATTGATCGATAAATATGCCTATTTGGAAATGTCAAAATCAGCTGTTCCAATAGACAATGCATGCCTGTTTTTTCAGTTTTTTAAATGTTATACTTAGATTTGCAAAGAGAAACGAATAAAAAACATTCCATTTTAATTTTTATATAAATATACATAAATATTTTATTAATTTTGTAAAAATTAAACATTATTATGAACCTAAATTTATCCAATGGGATGATAAACATACATTTATTATTCGATAATTTAAAGGTCATATACACTCACTCTAAATTTGTTTACTTATTCAGTTTCTCAGAATCATTCTTATCTGATGTTTCTTATTTATTTATTACTTTATATAAAATAACCCTTTATTCTTTTTCTAATGATTGAGCCTTAAGAAATATCTATCAACTTAGAGATAAGAGAGAAATTTATATTCGAAATTTCTAGTAATGATCTCGAAACATGCAGTCGACCGGATATCCTGAAAATTAAATTAGAACGAAGTGAACTTTTAAAATTGATCTGACGTTCAAGTGAAGTGAAAATTATATTAAATTTGCAGAAATTTGTGGCGACATTTTACTAATTTCCAATACATTATAATTGCATATACATCTCTTCACGTGAATCAAGGTAGGGTTTACATGTAGGATGAACAGGCTACAGCTATTGCCACACACAACTTAAGGCCTTATTCTTTTAAATTTATTATTAGAAAGACTACTTATATTTTTATAACTCAGAGCTTTAACAAGCCGAAATCCGGCTCTGGTGTGGAGATTTGTATTTTATTTGTTTTGATCTCCTCCAATTAAGTTTTCCCATGCACTAATTAAATATTTACAAGAGCATGCAACTATTAAAATAAAATTAAATATAATAAAAATTATAATGAATAATAATAAAAATAGTATTTAGAGTATATAAGAATTATAATACTAAAAAGTATGTAATTAAAACTTGTATTTTTATATAATAAAAAAATAATTTACATAAATAATATAAATTATCATTCCTAGATGTCGTTAGCCGGAAGTGTCCTATTTTGTTACATTAAATGCTTCTATGTAATTTCATAAAAATGTAATTAGGAAATTTTTATAGTTTGCTGAATTATTTTTTTATCATTTTTCTGTATAATTAATAGCATTATTTTTTGTGTGATTATAAAAACAAAGAAAAGAAGATAAAAGGTTTTTAAGAAAATAATATGAATTTCTAAGTTAGGCGTGGGCTATTATCTCTCTTTACCTTGACATTTTCGGTTCGATTTTTAAAGAAGATAACACACACCTACCGAAAATATATTCAAGGTTGATCGAATGATCAAATACAAAGCGAAAAAAATGTTTTAGTGCTTCATACTTTACAAGTTTACTTCTAGATAATACAGTATATTTCATTATCTAGTCTCATAAACGCTTACAAATTAAGTAATAACAGGAAAAAATATAGTTTGTACTTTTTCTTAGTAAAAAAAAATCTTACAAAACAACTCGTTCAAATATAGGTCTATACAGGTAAAAATTAGGCCATGTGAAAAACAATAAATGCATGAATAAATAGAGTAATATGATCGTTAAATTATGCGATGCATGCGAAAAAATAAAATAAAAAAGATATATTTATATTATTTGTAATAATTTATTTAATTTTAAGTTATCTCAATTAATGATTTAAAAAATACTAAATTACATATAATCTTTAAATAAAAATTAAAGAAAAAAAATGATTGAAAATGCAAATACGAATTATATCAGATTTAATCAAAAACCTCATCAAATTTTCCAAAAAAAACAAAAATAAAAATAAAAAAAAGCATGGATCTCGTTTAAATCCGGTCAGCGACATTTTTATCGACAATAGCCAATAAGAATAGAGTTGAGTGACGTCACGAGCATATGGGCGGCTTTAAATCTTACGGGTCGGAGGGATAACGAGCGTGCGCGTGGTGTAATAGCGCATGCTCGTGAAGAGGCACAATTCACCAGAAAAGACGAACCAGCAAGCGCTTTCTCTCTAAACGAAAATGAACTCGTAGGAAATTCTTGGAATACACTAGAGCAGTCGATTCTTAGTAGTAGTATACAGCGAGAGGCCCTGTATGGATCGTTTCAACATACGTAGATGTAAGACAGCGAGCTCTAAAGGCTACAAGTGCTATCGTACGCTCCTATATCCGACCTAAGCCTAATAAATTAAAAAGTGCTCTTGTGTTTAATATTTTTTAAATATATATATTCATTTGTTAAAAGCTGGCCCGCGCTTCCGTCATCTATTATAAGCAATAGGTGAGTGTTACCCGATTTTACGAGTAGATAAATAGTAATCATTGGTCGTTTAATAATCGATTTCTAGTTTACGTACCGATTAATGTTTCTGACGTAACGTATATTTCATAGATTCGTCGATTTCATAAATTAGTTTCTGATCTGCCACTCCGGACGATCGGTCGACGTAGGTTGTTGACCCGACTCTTCTATGTGTATGTGTGCACCGGCATCGAGTTAATAGTTGTGTGACGGTATGTTGACTTTGTTTAGAGGCGTAGACGCCGTCTTCCACAATCCGCTGCTCAATCCGAAGTTCGATATAACATTTTTGCAGCCCAATATAAAGGCCTTAAAGGCCAAGTGTCGGCAGAGGGGGCACGAATATCCCCTGAAGCCTGGGATATTTGAGATGAATAGTTCAGATTTTCATCGAATTCACAAGACTCTACAGGTATTGCAAACGACCGGTTATTACTACGGGGGATTATCGTGGAGGCAAGCTACGGAACTGTTGCAAGATACTGCCATCGGGACGTTTCTTATAAGAGAAAGTTCTGACTCGAGTTTTCTGTTTTCTCTCAGTGTCAACACGGAAAGAGGACCTACTAGTGTTAGGATACATTATATCAATGGTCAATTTCGTTTAGATTCCGAAGAGAGCATTGCAGGATTTATGCCAATTTTCGATTGTGTGGTGCAACTAGTTGAATATTACGTTCGACTTAGCAAATCGTCTAAGGGTGCTACGTGTGTTTGGTTGGATAATACAGGGCGTCGGGACTTACCTATATGCCTAAGTAGGCCACTCTATCACTCCGTGTTGTCTCTGAAACATCTCTGCCGTTTAGTAGTAAATGGAAGGCTACACTCGCACACGGATTGGATCAGTGAAGTAGTACTGAGGAGGTTAGGTCTCCCTCAAACTTTAGTATCATATCTCAGGGAATATCCCTATCTACATTGACATGACGATGGGGATTACGAGCATTTTATTACCATTCCTTGTGTTCGTTACAGATGTGAAAATCTGGATGTTCGAGACACTTTTAAGTTATTGTATACGGGTTGAGTTAGCGGTCGATATTAATTCCTAACGTCAGGTAATTGGATTCGATTTAAAAGTGACATGTACAGTACAATGAGAATGCCCTATTCGGATTTCAGCTCGTGCAAGCAGGCTGGCCGTTCGCTGCACAAATACAGACCTATTACCAAGTCAAATTGGTAGCCTCTATAAATTCGGATTCCAGCTCATGACTGCCATGGCACGGAAGATGGTACGCTTGGAAAAGTGCCTTCCTGCCTCTTCGAAACATCGATCAATATCGTCTTCGTCCCCTCTTTACCGAATGAATGTATTTGCAACTTTAATGGTTAAATATAGAGAGGCCTGGGCTTTCTACTATAGGCCTCAAAAGCACACCTGGCTCATCGCCAACTAGGTCTGTGACCTTGATTATCAAAACAAGATTGGTTTTCTTATCAACTCCGCCCCAGTATTACAAAATTGGTTTTTCCCATAAATTAACCGGTATGAAAAATTCTACATAGACGTATTATTCCTTTATGTGACATCATTAAAAAATTTTATAAGATGTAATCCCCGGAAGAGATTATTTGCAGTATTTATACTATAAAGTAACGTCATAACTTGAAAAGTTATAAACGAATAAATAACGAGGAAGAGCGATATTTTACATTGTAATTATACGTTTTAAATGTCTGTCAAGTATTTATTTCGACTACAAGTTTTTCTGTTGAATATTTTTTATGTATAATGCAATTATGAAATTGCAAACAGTTATGTTTCTTTTGAGATGAGTAGAAACAAAGTAAACTGGAGAAGAAAAATAAAAATTATTTATGCATATATTTGTAATTTATGTTCTATTTTTTAGTTCGGATGTCATGTTTACATTTTTATTTGCGCATTGTATAATTTAATTTTATATAAATTCTATTTATAGATAAAGAAATTTATATATGAGATAATACATTTCATACACTTTACTACAATATTATAATGAATTACGGAGAAAATAGATCGAAACGTCACAATATAAACAATACATAATTGTGCAGTGAGTGATGAGTCACACAAAGTCCCGACCAGACACCACTTGTCAACATCACGTAGCTCAACATTAAATGGTATGAGAATGTTGACTTAACTGACCTCGTTCTTTTTTTTAATTAAAAAAATCTGTATCAAATGTTTATGTGGTCATATCATACAAGAATAACTTACTATATTAAAAATTATTGTTGATTATTTGGAAGACCTTTGAGATTAGAACTTTTCTATGAAAACAGAAAAATAAGCAAAACAATTTAGAGAATTTGACTAATTAATTTTTAAAGTTTATTTCACATAAATACTGTATGTATAATGTTTAATTATAATTCGGAGAAGGAGTTAAAATGCAACTAATTTTAATCTTTCTGTTTAAAAAACATAGTTAAAGGGTTATTTGTTGAACGAATATCAAATGTCTTTTTATGTCTCCAGTTCCTTTGATAACAAGAAAATCAAATTTCGACTCTAAAATAGAATATCATTTATTTTGAATGGAAGATCAGCAGTCTAAAAAATAAATACTGAGACGTGTGACGGGAATAGTGTTTGACAAATGGCATTAGTGACAGTCGATGAACCGTTAACTGTCTTCAGTTCCTTCTGTCTATTGGTAGGTCATTATTTTTCCTCACTGGGTAGTGATTTTTTTTTTCTAGTTAAAAGTTGCCCGTTCACACTCAAAAGATGTTTATAAATAAACAATGCTATATAGAAATTGAGTAAATATAGTTTATATAAGAACCTAATTCTATATACACGCAGATAAAATATTTATTTATTTATAATCAGTACCAAATTTCTACAGATTAATTCCTTCGTAGTGACTAAGTTTTTTTTTTTTTTTTAATTTACAAAACGTAAGGGATTATATAGACAGAGATATCAAATATCCATTTATGTCTCCAGTTCCGTCAATAAGAAGATAATCAAATTTCGATTCTAAAATAATATATCATTTACGTAAATAATTCAAAAGCATCATGAAAATCATTTTTCTAGGAAACGAGAGAGACAATAGAATTTGAAAATTATTGCCTTTACACACGAGATATCGATGGCATCCATATCCATTTCATTGTTTATGAAGGAAATTAATTTTAAATTAAACTATTTTTTCAGAATTAAATTAACTTTACTAGATAATAGAAACACAACTTTTATTATTATTATTATGTAAATTCTAATGCGGAAAACTCAAGAATTGCAATTGGTGACGTTGTACGGTTTTTCAAGTGAATTTCCGAAACGCAACCGTGAATGAATATCCGGAAAATTATAATGCCAAAGGAAAATAAAAAAATGCATTCACGTTTCTATTATTGTATAGACTCACGCGTGCAATTTCAATCGTTAGAATCACGCTATTCGTGAAAATTACAGCTTTGTTCTTTTAAAATTAATGAAAAAATTGTTGTTTCTTCCATTTTATCTTTATTTTAATTCTTTAAAACATCAAATACACTTATTATAAAAGAAAAATATATGTATATGTTTGTAAATATAGACGTTGATTTTTTTAAATTTATAATTTTTCCTGTAAACGTTTATAATTTATCTCTGTATTTGTATTACTCATTCGATTTTTTATTGTTTTAATTTTCCTTTTAATTTTCTTGGAAAATATTATTACGTATATTATAAAAATGATTATCAAAACTGTAGATAACAAAATTATGATAATAGTATTGGCACTATATCTATAGATTTCCGAGAACATATGTCCCGTACCTGTCCATATTGTGCACATATGATAAACCATAATATCCGGATTGAAAGTTGCATAGTCAAAAGGAGCACTGGACCATCCAGAATGACATTTACACCATCCATCTGTATAAGTCGGATCACCATTATGGCATTGAACATTTAATGGATAACCGTGAACTCCATATAAAGGTTCACTACTATGTCCGGTTTTAAACTGATTCAAATCTTCCTTCGATAATGGCGTGCCTAATTTTCTACATCTATTACTCACTGGGACGTATACAACTGTTGGCAAATCTTTATCGTTATTTTCTAAATTACATTCGAATACTTTTTCGCAACGACGAGATGTATGATTAAAGAAGTTTCGTTTTCCATTATATTTTATAAAACACGAAACTGGTTTGCAATCATCAAGTGCATCTTCATCAATACTCGAACATTGTTTTATTTCTTTATCCGTAAGATAATCTTCTAAAAAACAAGGTATAGGTATATTTTTCCTTAGCATTGTGTTAAATTCTATAATTGTATGAATTTTAACATCTTCAGCAGAAACTAAAATTCTACATTTACCATTCCGATCATGAAAATATAAATTGGGGTATATAAGAGTTAAGTTTTCGATATTCATGGGGTATAATTCTTTAATCTCTCCACCAATTAATTCCATAGATTCACAATCGACTTCATCTTCTAATTTTAGGCAGCATCCTTCACTTTCTACTGTTACTTTAACAGGATGTCGGGCTTTATTCTTAACAGTGATATAAAATATCATAGCAGAGGTCTTTCTTCTTATATTCATGATTCCACTATCTTCAATCGTTAATGGCAATCGATTTTCCGTTTTTTCTTCCGCGGAATTCTGACCCGGAACATCATTCAATTTACTAGCCATTTTCGTAAGCACGCTTCTATTCCCTTCTACACTTTCCTCCACATAATTCGAAGAATCTACGAGATTGTAATCATCTCGGTAATTAGCTGTAGAAACTTTAAAACTAATTAAAACTTTAATTAATATCAGAATATACATTTCATTTATAAACACTAAGTTTAATTATTATATAACAATTTTAATTATTACGTATAGGCCTATAAAAATCATTGTAGAGTTAAAAATATGAATGTAAAATTTAAAAACAAGAAAAAAAAAGCATGTAAGGATATTTTCCCAGAAATACTCTATTGGAAACTGGAATTAGAAATACGCGGGAAAAATTCCTAGAAGTGTATTTTGTGACGTCAATAATCCTGTTCGATAAATGAATGAACAATATTGGGAGAATGGATACCACGAATAACCAGAAAAAACTAAATAAAGAGAAATATATATAAAAAAAGACCTCTTTATAACTATCCCATTTTCGTTAATAAGTTACGGTAAATGCTTGAAAGGTCACGCGTTTTTTCAATCAGTGAAATTGCAACATTCGTGACAGTTACAGGATTGACATAATGAATTTGTTTATGTAGTTTACAAAAAAAAAAATAATGTATTTATATATACAGTACAACCTAAACTGTATAATTGAAAATCGACAAAAATTAATTTAAAAAATAAAAAATTTTAGAATTTTTTAAATATAAAAATATTAAGAATTTTTTATAAACTTCAAACGTTGAGATAATATTAAAAGTTCTATTTATAGAATATTTAAGCGTTTAATATTGATTTTATATTTGTTTATGTAATCTATAATTAAAAAGCAGATATGAGATATAAGCTACAACAAATTATATAATTTAAAATAAATAAAACAAATAACAAAATTAAAAATCTCACAATTTTTTAATATACTACCAATATTTTGAACATTAAACGTTAAACATTAAAATAAGAGCGTTGTTTGAACGTTGAACATTAATTTTATAGTTATTGTTTGTGCAGTTTATAATAAAAAGCCTATAAATTATTCAAATTATAATTGAAAATCGATACAAATGAATAAAAAAATTTAAGTTTTTATATATATTTTTTAATATAAAAATATTCAATCAAAATAGAGATTTTTATCGCCTAATGTTTTTTAAAGATTTACTATTTGGTTTGAACTTTTTAAGAAAAACATTATTGAGTAATAAGGAAAAGATAATAATTCTCATATTTTCTTTATAAAAATATTGAAGAATTTTTACATTTATTGATATTTTTAAAGAATTTTATAAAGTTAAACATTGAGATAACGTTAAAAGAATTTAAAGAACGTTATTTGCGCTTTTAATATTGATTTTCTATTTATTTACTTATATAATCTGTAATAAAAAGTACAGTTTATGCAATAAATTATATAAATTAAAATTGGGCAAGTTAATAATTTCAGAATTTTTTTTAAAATAAAATATTTAAGCAAAATATATCACTAGTAATTTTTAAAATAATTTTTGTGAAGTTGAATATTGGAAGTGTTATTTATAGAACGTTGTTTGCGCGTTTAATATCGATTTTATATATATTTGATAATCGAATCGCTTATAACAAAATACAATCAGTTTTTGGTATCTTATTTTTTGGGTAGAGAAAAGCCGCTGGTAGAACAAGGTCACCTTCAATGCGCGAGGGGCCAATAAGGGAGCCAGACATACAGGGGAGAAAATAGGGAGATGCAGAATTTGCCAGCACCTGGATGATAACACCTGCTCTTTCGTCTTTCGAAATTTCAGTTTTTGATATTATAGGCCCATTACATAACGTTCATACTTCTTAATTCATTCACGAAAATAATAATAAAATTACACAATTTATTAATTGAGTAGACATCAATGAAAAAATACTTTGCTGTAATTTATAATTAATGAATAAATATTTATTTAATTATACGCAGTTTTAGGTTATTGATGAAATAATTTAAAAGAAATTTTTATTTTTGCATAATTGACACGCTTCTAATCCGGGAAAATAAATGACGTAAAAGGATACTCTTGAAACGAAGTGTTATAAAAAGTAAACAATGAAATTAGTAAAGAAAATTATTTAGATTTATGCTATAAAGATTTTTATTTACTTAAAAAAATAAATAAATAAAAGTCGAAATAACCATGTTAATTTTTAAATAAATCCATTTGATATAACAATCAAGGTCTCCCTTTTATCCAGAGGTGTTATAAAACAATTATAACAAAATTAATTAAAGTACAATAAACTATGAATTATTATAAGAAACTAAATAAATAAAAATCTATATAACTATATTAATTTTGAAATAATTTGCACTTAAACAATTAGAGTCCCCTCTTATTCAGGGATATAGGATAATAACTATAACAAAATTAAAATATGATAAATTACAGGTTATTCTAAGAAAATCATAATTAAGTTAAATCATCGATTATTAATGCATTTAAAAACAACGACAAACCGTTGCATTTTTATTTTATTTTATTCCATTTTTTAAGTTCTATAATTTAATATCTGTGTAAATAAATAATTATGATCGATGCATGTTTTTATGTATGTATCCCATCAACGATTTCCTTGTAATTATATCGGAATAACATTTCTAGTTGGATTTAAACTATTCTCGGTAGAGAAGCAATCAACAACAGGATACTAACGACGTCATATCTTCCTGTCCATTGAAAGTGATCTCCGTTATAATTTTTCCTCAAAGAAATTTTTCTGAGGTAAATAATATTTAAATCATTAAAAATATAAAACATATTGCAAAGCTATTATAATATATGTACAAAAAACTTTCATGTGAAATGTTAATATTTTATTTTTATTATTTTATATTTATTTTAGATAAAAACTAGAGCAATCATGCAGCATTCTCTATATCACTTCTACGTATTGAGACTACGAAATTGAGGAAGTTCTAACAATTTCTCTGAAATAAATCAAATTTTCACGTGAAACTATTACTATTTTTTTTTTTTACAAAAAAAATTAGAAGTAAATTGCAAAAATGGAATCTAATATAGTTCAGATTGTTTTAAAAAAAATTCGTGGAAAAAATTATAACAATAAAATAAAATTCGATTTTTAGGCAAATTTAGAATTGATTTTGTAATTTTTTCATTTCATTTTATTATTATTATAACTTTTTTTTAATACAATTAAAGGCTAAAGTTGAGGTTTTTATCTATATTGACTGATAAAGCTTTTGCTTTTTAGATAAAATGTAATTTAAAACATAAAATTAATTTTAAAATTAAATAAAATTAGAATTTTATTAGTGGATTAGAAATTGGAAGTACTGTATAAAACTATAAAATTAGAATTTAAAATTGAATTTAAAACAGAAAATCAATAAGGATTTTAAATAAATTTTGTTTTTTTCTAATTTCCATTTGGATCTTCAAAGTATTTACTGTGTTTATAATTCTAAAAAGTTTTCTAAATGGTTTTATATAAGACTACATTATAATTAACAGATATAGTAAAATAGCTCAAGTGAATAAAAAGATATTTTATTACATCTTTTATTCAATTCTACGAAGAAATAAGACTCTTTAAATCTGCCTACATAAACTTACTATTGACTATCGAATGATAGTAAACAGTCTTAATTAAACATTTTAGAAAGGCAAAGAGATTAAAAATAAAAAAAATAATAATAAATAATAAGAAAGAGTATAAGTAGTATACAATTATGAATGAATGCATTAACATTAGAATAAAGGGGAATTTGTAAGGTATTTTTGTAAATTTTTGCTTCATGAATATATTGAAAATACCAGACTTTCATTTGGCAATAAAAAAAGTGAAAAATAAAATATCTACTGGTGTATTTTTGTGGAAGAAAATAAGATTAAGAAGAATGTTATTTTATCCAATTTATTCAAGAGTCATTATCAGTAAGTAATTTGTTTAAAATCGAAAGTAAAAATATAAACAAGTTGAAGATGTGTTCCAGAATTAAATACTAAATCGTAGGCGTTAACTTGAACGAGTTTGCAACCTGAGAAGTTGGGCAAGCGTACTTTATTAATCATTTCATCTAGATGTAACGCTATATATATATACTTTATACATCCATCTTGCTTTTTTACATCATTTTTTAATATTTTACTTTCATCTCCAATCGTCAAGGCTAACTAATGCAAATTACGAAAATATTTTTTTATAAATATTTTTCTCTTTAATAAGATAACATTTATCAATGATCTCAATCAAATAACTCTTCAAGTATCTTTTAAATTCTTTAAAGAGCATTAAATTTTTATATAATAGGTTTAAATGGCGAAATAAATTCTTTGTATATAGTGCAAAGAATTACGTTTTAATTACCTGTAAAGGGGGAAGTTTTTAGAATCTTAATTAGCTTATGGCCTCTTTGAAATTGAATTCAANAGTAATACCTTCAGTTTTATTGAAACCATTATATGATCAAGATGTGAGGAAGATCTGAAGATCTGAGATAGAACTTAGACCAGTCAAAAATGAAGCCCCACTACTCTTCGAAATTCGTAAAAATATACGAATAAAATCAATAAAATAATAAAAAATTCATTTATCAATGATCTCAATCAAATAACTCTTCAAGTACCTTTTAAATTCTTTAAAGAGCATTAAATTTTTATATAATAGGTTTAAATGGCGAAATAAATTCTTTGTATATAGTGCAAAGAATTACGTTTTAATTACCTGTAAAGGGGGAAGTTTTTAGAATCTTAATTAGCTTATGGCCTCTTTGAAATTGAATTCAAGTTAATCTTCTGTAAAAGACTTAACATTATATATTTCCCACAGATAGGTGGACTTAATTAGGGTTACGTGAACCATCTACATTGACAACAACAAAGCAGAAATTCGCCCGCAGCAAGTCAGATTCCAGGAAAAATGTTGTTCATGGTCGTCTGACCATCTGGTTGAGAAGTTGGGGGAATTGTTAACTGGACAGAAGAGATTTTCGTCGAATTTCCATCATAAAAACTATCGTATTAATTGTGGCAAACATTTTTCAAAATTGTCACATTTAAAAAACAACTCACAAGCAGTACCATTATTGTATACCATTATTATTATTATTATAGTACTATTACAATACACCATTATAATATTTAAAAAATAAATAAAATATCGATTAATAAGTTTTTGAATGTTTTGGAAAACGTTTTAATTTTTTTTCTGCTTGGAAATTTAATTATTTTTAATAAAAATATACTAATTATATAAATTAAGTTTTAATTGTTTAGTCTTCGAACAATATGCGAACAATGACTACTTATCCTATGAATTACATAAATATGATTAATTATATTCGTAATTCAAAAATTGCAAATGATAATTAATCATAAAAGGAATTACAAATGATGATAAGTTAAATAACAGTTAAGATGAGTTTATTTAAATATTAAAAAGTTTTATTTATTTTTTTTAATTAAAAAATAAATAAAGAAAAATTTTGACTTGATAAAATAAACAAATATAAAATTTTTAAACTATTACGTAAATTAAAACTATAAATAAACGAATTTTAAAATATCAAAATATTTAAATAAAAATAAAAATTATAACTTAAAATGAGTTTATGTGAAAG